ATGAATGGAAATAAAGTCACCCAACTTTAGTAACCCAAGTATACCTACCTTTCAGTGCTACTCCATGACTGGTCACATGAATGGCAATAAAGTCTCCCAACCTTAGTAACCCAAGTATACCTACCTCTCCGTGCTACCACATGACAGCTCACATTAATGGTAATAAAGTCTCCCAACCTTAGTAACCCAAGTGCACCTACCTCTCAGTGCTACCACATGACAGCTCACATAAATGGTAATAAAGTCACCCAAGCTTAGTAACCCAAGTGTACCTACCTCTCAGTGCTACCACATGACAGCTCACATGAATGGCAATAAAGTCACCCAACCTTAGTAACCCAAGTATACCTACCTCGACTCTTACAGTGCTACCAGTTGAACTCATAAAAGATGCATTGAGTATTTCTTCACCAGGCACATTTAGTAGAGGTGATCCATATCCAATAGCTGGTACTCTTCTCAGTGGTGTGGATGTATTTGATCGTGGCGGAGATCGTAAAAAAGGTTCTGACCCAGAGTCCTCCATTCAATATTTCTTTATTTTAGTTAGCCAAAGTACCCAAATAATCTTAGTAAGTCTGTAAAAAATACATGATTTAGCTCATTAATGTCAATGAGAAGGACAGACATTGTTCCCTTGCAACAATATCTCTGCAGCTTATGTCACAGAAAATTTTTAATTGACCAGAGTCAGCAGAAAACCTTGACCTTGTCTGGTGTAGGATCTAGATATATTAATATTTGCCATCACAAGATTCAGTCTTTGCTGAAAAACAAACATTATGTCATTTCTGTTGCTGAGGGTGATGCACTACCGGTACATAAATTGTCACATGCTCAAAACCTGATCATTAAAAGTGCTGATAAAGACCATCATTGGTCCATCATATGCTTATTTGCACGTTTCTTTAAACAACAAATATTGCCCACACTACGCCTGTACCATCATTTTTGAATGATATATTGATGATAATATTGGTTGCACATCTTGTTGCCTCGAAGATTTGGATGACTTTATTGGTTATGTTTCTAGTTTCCATCCTGCCTTAGAGTTCACCTTTACTGTATCATTAATCTGTTTCCAAGATGTACCTATCAGTATACTTAATACCTACTAGTATGTATAACAAAGAGAGTGACTGAGACAGACAACTTACTCATATAAGTTGAGTATAACTCTTCACACTGTAAATGCATAAATTTCATACTTTCTGAGGCTTTGGCATTTGTGATCAACTGATGATTATTTTTTGTAGCACATTGATTTTGTTTCTGGTCTTAGTCGTGAATTGGCTTTACAGTTCAAACCATCTTCAGACGTATCTTATGTTCAATTCAGTGTTCTCCCCAGGCCTTTCAAGGACTGCGGGCCCGCGTCGCTTAGACAAACAGCCGCGTCGCTTTTGTTTCGCCCGCGATCCTTGAAATCCTGCCCGCGATGCTTATTCACGTTGTATTGTTTACAAGTGTCAGCCTCGTCTAGCACATCTTTAAAACAATAACATGTATTGATCGAAAGGTAATCCCGCCTTTGTACATAGTTAGCCTTACAAAAACAGTGATAAAAACGGAAGTCTACAAGAAGTTACCAAGTCTATCAAGGGTGCGGAGCTGGCAAACCCAAAATACTAGGGTAGTAATAATTTGCCAATTGCGTCGGGATGGTCTATCCCGAGTTGCTGCACTGCGATTAATTGCGTTTTTACTACTTCATCGCCAGTGACACTAATTACCAAGAATTAAAAAAACAAGTGAAATTAAGTCGCATCGGAAAAAAAAAGCTGTAAATAAATCGAAGTAAAAATTATTCAACTGCAGACGAGACGGACGAGGAAAAAACGAACCCTGACCTCTAGAAATACCTCACTCATAGTGCGTCATTACCGAGGAACGCCACCCTAAGGCGACGTAACGCATGTAGTGACATCACAACCGATGCATGCTGGGTTACAACGGAGATTTTGATTGAGGTAACAAAAAATGGCGGCGCAGAGTGCATGTTTTTCCGCGATGTTTAAAAACAACATTTCGTTGGCGATTTTGATGTAAATGAATCGTTTTAATTAAGCAAAAATTCTAAGTTTGTGTATTTTTAAACAAAAAAGTCAAGGACCGATGATCGCAACAGCAGCGGTGAATACCCGTTCAACGCAATGCCGTCAGCTGACAATGTTATGGTGATCGTAGCGTTACACAAATAATAGATAGATCAATGAAAAATCGCTGACTTTAGTTTTGAAATGCCGTTATAGAAAAAAAATGTCATTATTGATTTATTAATTTCTTCATACAGATTTTGCAAATTTAACAAACAAATCCCCCCCCCCCCCCCGGTCGTATGAACTGACAGTAACATTGGCACTAAAACTGACTACTTGTACACAAAATAATGATAAACCAGTTACCTCCACGGATAAACAATATATTTACTGACTGGCTATAAGCATTTCCATTTCTTTCCTGTTCTATTTCAAACTGTATTTGACTTGATGCACACATAAAACACAATGAATGTAAATGATAAAAAATATGAGATATGTATCTCTTCTTTATTTGAGTTATAATGTTTGTTGGGGAAACTAATTATTATGCAAACAAAATTATGCAAATAAGATTTATTGTTATGTAAATTAGCCGCAATGCTTGGCTTAGAGTCTGGGGAGAACACTGGG